CCACGGCTGAAAGGGCGAGCATGTTTGGTATGACGGGGATTCGAACCCGCGACCCTCAGATTGCGAGTCGAGCCTAACGTTACGGTATTTGATCAGATTGACTGATGGTCTATCTTTCGGATCAAATCTAGTTCCTTCTCTGGTTAACGTGTTTTCTGGCTTTCATGAAAAAGACTATCTTATGTCATTCACGTCATTGACACTCCTATAATCTTTTCTTTTTTTTTTCTAGCTTCTGAATTATCTGACCGGTATGTATGGTGGTATGAGTATCACGTAAAACATTAAAAAGCTTTTTGAAAGACATTGATACATAACAATAAAGGATACTCATCCCAATGGCTCAACGGTAAGTCTGCACGCTTACGTCGCTAAAATTCGGGTTTAGACACCCGTGGTGGGCAGAACACAGCCCATTGTGTAGCTTTTTTGCGTTTAACAACAACCAGACGAACTCTGGTGAAAAGTTCAAATATAGTCTTGGCCAAAATGTTTGCATACTGTTCTATATTGATGTCATTGTCTACATGCATGGAGTAGTTATTAAGTAAATGCCCGAATAGTAACAGAGACGGTAATATACGATCAGACAAACATGAACGAGTTGTTATTCTGGTCTGTGTAAGTTGTTTTGAGCATTTCTTCGTCATACACACCTGTTTTGTATAAAATGACGTGTTTTTGGTATAATCTTTTTTGAAACAGACCAACGGTTTGTTCAGACAATTTCTCTGTACTTGGTGTAGAGGTCATGCCTCGTTTCGTGCCAGAAGTTATAGGGCGTCAAATTGTTCGATATTGCCAGAATCCTGAAATGTCATCAGTCTACAGGAAACGTTGTTCCGGGAAAATCTACTTGTAGACGCCGAAAAACTACTGCCCGAGACGACCGTGTTTTGATAAGGTTAACACGTCAAGGTCGAAACAAGTTGTGCAACATCTTACAACCGGAATGGCATGAAAACATTCATTCCAAGGTATACAGAAGAACAGTGAACAGGAGACTGACCAAACAAGGTTATTTTGCAAGAAGGGCTATCTGCAAACCGATATCAACCAGAATTCACCGCCGTCACTGTGTTACTTGGGCAAGACAGCATGCCAACTTAGAGTTAGGACACTGGGGACATGTCATCTTTTCAGATGAGTCCTGTTTCCGGCTTGTTAAAGCTGATGGTAGGATTCATGTTTCTCGTTTGGCTGGAGAATAGATGAGGGAAAACTGTCTTTCCCACAGGGAACACACAGAAGGTGGTGCAGTAC